TAATTTTTGCACACCTGAAGTTATAATTAGCAAAGTACTTGCAGGCATGGGCCCTCTCTAAGAATAAGTTCATGTGGGAGGATTCAAAAGATGTTTCCTTAATCATAAAAGAAGCCAACAAATCGCATGGCTTTGACCCCACTGCTCAGTCTATCACCTCATTACATGTGTTTAAGTTTTGTGTACCCGTTTATGCTTTTATTTGTACCGTTTTTCATAAGCAATCATTTACATAACAGGTAATCTCTAGTGAAGTGATATACCATAAAGCCATGAGATCTGAATTGGGAATGTCGCATTAATTGGATCACAATATATAGTGGGCCAGTGATTGATTGCACTACACTTGATTAGTAATCAAATTATTTTAACAAGTTTCCAATAATGCTTCATTCTAAGTCAATTCTGAGAAGAAAGTAATCACAATTCACAGAGCAGTGATAAAAACAGATAGTTTTAAAAAGATATAATGATTTGTATCATCTAAGTAATCACAACATGGCATTCCTTATACCAATGGAAAATGAATACCATGCTGCTAATTGATTTTGGCTTAAGTCCAGGTTTTACCAACATGCAACATTGAAAATTATTTTTCTTAAGAAGTTAGGAGACCACTTTAAAACTCAATTTATTTTATATGCATTTGTGCTTAGTTTATCTCAGGTACAGATTGACATATGTAATCCATAATGCAGCACAAATATTGCCTAGTATATATATACATATATATTTCTTTTCAAGCTGGACACACAAATTTGAACTCAAATTATTTGATACGCGTTTGAGCTTTAGTTTATCACATATACACATTGAAATAGGTAATCTACAATGCAGTACCAATATTGGTTTTTATATTTAATTACTTTCTGCTTTTCGGATTAGCTGGATCAAAATTTAAGTGATTTGCTGCTTCTTCTACATGACGATCCATGCTGCAGCGAACACATGTACAAAATTACTACCAGAAAATTATCTATATTAGAACTACACATAAGTTTGATATATGCTCATCCTGAAATCTCAGTTATTTTCACACGAGATATTTAGACAAGATATAAAACTTACAACTATGATTTTCTTATTTAGAATGTATATTCTCCAACATTTTCTGTATCTTGATTTCCTAGTTTTGTTTTAAGCATGCCAGGGTCAAATTGTTGGCATATACATAATGAGACCTATTTGTTAAGGCAGATTAGCTTACCACACAGGCATACACATCATCACATCCACACAATAGTTTCCCATTTAACATATCTACAGCTTGAAATGACCCTCCTCCATCGCTTCTCTGCATCAGTGATCAAATGACAGTACACATCAAACATATCTAACAAGACAACCAATAACACTATAAAATCATAGTAAAACTTTTCTACCTTGTAATAGTCAACAGCAACAAAATTAGCCCAGCGATTACCAGCCACACTATAACAAGTCGAAAGCATATTTATGAGGTCTTCTGAATTATCTTTACATGTGGCTTGCTTAATTGGAATTGTTCTAAAGTGATTCACTAAAACCAAAGATTTGCTTCTGTCATTGAGTGCTGCTGACTCTGCACGTTTGGGACATCTTCCCTTAACCATCCCATCCTTCCCATCTGCATTCATAAACTCAACATTAACTCAAAACCAAAAACCATTTTGGTGTAAAAAAAAATTGAGAACAGATTGTGGAATGATTATTATATATGCACATATAAATGCTGCTCACACTGATTTTCAACCATATAGTTCCACTGGTAAGCTATTCCTTCACTTTGTTCCTTGTGCCTCTGAGAGCCAAAGACAAGGAGCCTGTAATTCTTAGCAACCATGTCTTTCACTAAGGGCCAATCTTGGCCATCTCGAGGCATGCTTGAGAGAGGAAACAAATATTTCATCAGCCCAGAAGCTTTGAATACCATGGTCAATCCTTTTGGTGCCTCAACATAGTCTTCTAATATCAGTGTCACAATTTCTGTTGGATTTGCTGATAGGAATGTTTCCACTTCCTTGAAAGCATTTATTGCAGGTTCCTATTTTCAAATATTTTCAAGTAATATGTAACTATTTCAATAAAGCTCTTAATAGTTCTCAATAATCAGTCCTAATTGCTTGTAGAGTTTTTAAATTTTAGAGAAAAGCTCTTACAAATCACTTACAAATGCAGTGTACTCATGACACTTCCCTTTAAATGAATGGCACAACCATACATCTCCTTTGTAGTCATAGGTATCCAACATAAGGGCTCGAACTCCATTCTGCATATATTTAGGATTAGAATTGATGCCATCAAAGTTTCTCAAGTTCAACAATGAAAACATTCAATTATACCTCAGTGATCTTACATTTAATTGCTGAGAGATACTGTCTTCTTGATTTATGAAGGTAAATAGTGGAGACCCATTAGGGATTGGCCTTTTTCTATTTGCAAAAGAATTGTGGGTTGTCAGATATGCATATTTGTTGAACGGCAAAGAAGTATTCTGTGCAATTGGAATTTGTAAATTGTAACTACATCAGAAAATTTAAATCATTATATCACAAGGTTTTGTGAGAGAATAATATAAACTATTAAAAAGACTCACACTCAACACTTTAAAGTTTTGAATTTTGGGTTCATGCCCACTTCTGGAATTAAATAAAAAATAAAAAAATTAAGGGGTGTGTTCTCTTGTGTGTGAGGGGTGTGTTAGAGAATAATATAAACTATTAAAAAGACCTCCATCCAAAACTTTAAGGTTTTGGATTAGAGTGATTCTTTACATTTGTTCTTAAAACTGAAGTGCGTGCATTTCCGTATTTATTTTTTATTTTTATGGTATATATGTTCACCAATTTTTTGTTAGATTAAGTCAATTTTGGAATTCTCAAAAGTTTTAAAGGCATATTTATATTCTTTTCTCTCTTTTTTGTTGGTAATAAACCTTTCTTTTTCCTTAAGTAATTGTTAGGCTACTTTCAAGAAAAAATGTGGCACTTGTCTTTAATTTAAGCTATGCAATTTAATAAGTATACATAAAAACCTTAATTTTTAAAAAGAAGTGCTATGAATAATATTGATACCAAAAGCTTGAATGGTCTTGTTGTTGTTGATCTCACACATCTTGACCCCTGAAATTTTAGAGGGCAAGAGCTACAAAATAGGCCTGCTGCACAGTCCCCATTGGACGAGCACTTACCCAAGAGCTGCAAATACAGAGAACTTATCATACTAAACATTGAAAACTATATATATCACTTCATACATGCGCAGCACAAGCAATAATGATATGATGGAAGGGTTTGAATTTCACTCTCAAAATAATTCAACATTAAAAAAAAAATTAAATAAAAATAAATACACATATACATTAATGAAACTCATAATTTTACATATGCTTCGTAAAATATATAAGGACCCAATTGCAACCATGGAATTCGATCATAGAGTAATACCTCGCGTTCTCCATTAGGAAAAGTAGCTGCAGCAGCTGTAACGCTAAGGAAGACTGAAAGAATAACCAATGGCACACCCATGGGAAATAGATGAAAATGTTTTGAGTATTATGGTGTGACGATTAAATATGAGAGGACAACGCATTTATATATAGAATAACATGTATTTGTAATAGAAGCATTATCCGAAGTTATAAATTACTGCATCTGGTAGTTGAAGAAGCGTTTCATAATACAAAGTTAAATGTCAAAGGAAACGTTACTGCTTTATGAACCATCAGAATTTTAGAACATAATACAATAACACTATACATTTCAACTTTATCCAAAAAAAAAAAAAAAAAGCTAGGGAGGACTATACGTGTCCATAACAGTGGTCTTTTCTTTTACACGTAACGTTCATACCCGGAATCTTTAGTTCTTCTTTAAGTTAAAATTTAATTTAAAAGAATAAATTGAGTAAGGAATTAACGATGATCGGTGAAAAATTTGATTTTCTTACATTTTTATAAAACATATAAATAGAAACATAATAAATTATGGATTTGTAAGACATTATTTCCGCGATTTTCCTATCAATCAATCATATCACTCTCCACTTCACTTTTTTAAGGCATATAAACATGGGAAGGATATTCTAACCATTAAATTATGTTATTATCATGTTACTACCAATCAATCTTACCATTAAATTGATTATGTTGATCTAACGGTTATATTTATTTTCATAATTGTATGGTTATGATTTTTCAAATTTAATACTTTATATTTATTTCCACCTTTGTATGGTTATGATTTTTCATATTTAATATTTTCACTTTAAATATAGGGAATCATAATTGTACAAAAATGAAAATAAATATAACTGGTGGATCAACATAATCGATCTAACGGTGAGATTGATTGGTAGTAACATGGTAGTAACACAACTTGGTTGTTACAATATACTTCCTCATATAAATAAAGAGACTTATTATTATTAATATCAGTATCAGTTTGTTTCATCGTTGGATCGATTATGTTATTTGGACGGTTGGAAAAATTAATGAAGAATATATTGATAATTTTATTCATTTCTTTATTATATAAATTATACCAGAACACCTTTTATTAATTCTCCTAACTAACACATATAATATTAGGGTTTGTTTTTTCTGATGTTACTTTAGATAACGTTATCTAATGTTCATCAAAACGACGTCGTTTTGGTACGGAAATTATGGTATTTTTTGTAATTTTAATTTATTTCAGGGTTATAATAGTCTTTATCACTCTAATTTTTTAATTCTTCAACATCAAAACGACGTCGTTTCGATGAACATTAGATAAAGTTATCTAAAGTAACATCGGAAACTTTTTTCTCATAATATTATTGTTCTATTTGTTTTCTATGATCATATTTAGGGTTACGGGGCATATTTATGATATATTTATTAATACTATTATCCCTTCAATATGGGCCCAAATTAATGATGGCCCAAATTATCTTCAACCGGGCCCGGAGACACAATCAAGCCCATGACAAAAACATCTGAGTCGTTACCTGACGGCGTGTTGACGATGAACCTGAAGACCAAGTCCCAGGAATTCAAAGTTCACGGAAACAACACAACACAACCACCAATCTAATTATCAGTGTCTCAGCCTCTTCCCAACAAACTCGGACTCCAAACACAAACAGACAAACATGCCAACCCTCTCCAATTGCTACACCATGCAAGATGCATCCCAACACAACACCAAAGATGATTGCTGGATCGTTGTCGATGGAAAGGTATCACCTTTTCCATAAACCATTTCTTTCTTTCTCAAATTCCCCACCTGGGTCTTTCCCTCTTGCTTTCTTCCCTTCTGTTTTTCATGTCTCTTGCATAAAAACTCTGTCTTTGTGTTCTGTCCTATGATAATTGTATTTTCATTTTTTATTTTTATTTCTTTTGTCTTTGTTGCTGTTTAGTATTCCTTGTCCTTTGGGGTGTGTTTTGCTACAAGAGAAAAAACTTTGTGTCAGGGAATCATGATATTCAGTAATATTCAAAAGAAATCCAATTTACCAGAAATTATATAAGAAAAGTTGTTTGGTAGAGGTAACTATTGCCGGGAATATTTAATAATTTTACAGAGTATATGTTTGGTTGTGAGGAAAACATTAGTGATAATATATATTGATTTTACAAAACTAACCTTAACTTTTTAAAACATTTTCCCTTCCCTCAGTAATTTGACGTGTGTTGGGAGTATTATTGTCTCAAAAATATGTTATCTGTTTTCCCTTCCGCGTCATGAAAACTCGCCTAATTTCTGATAATCCAAACAGTAATTTTTCTTTATAAAATGTTTTACCGGTAAAGCTTGGATATCCAGAAATTGATTTTTGATACTTTTACCAAACATGGGAATCGATGTTTACAAAGAAGATTTACCGGTAATCCTTGTGATACACTTGTACCAAACACCCTGTAAGTGGATATAAGTGGATAAACAGTAAGTGGATAAACAGATATACTTTTCTTTATAAACAGTAATTTTTCTTTATGCCATGTTTCTATTTCTACTTGTAGTTATCAGTTCTTTTATATGTTTGCCACTCTCTGTAAAGTTACATGGAGTCAAGAAGCTGGTTAAATAGGGAATGGGGGGCAATTTGTTGTAAGGCCGGTGGAGTGGTAAAGTTGTTTCTTTATGACTGAAAGGTCACAGGTTTGAATTCGGGAAACAACTTCTTTGCAAGCATGCAAGGGTAAGGTTGTGTACAAAGATTGCCCTCACCTCTATCCCTGTTAGCCGGGGTTTAGTGGGGAGTGGTTTTATTGTAAGTCACAGTAATTAATTGTTACACATTGGTTATTGTTTGTTAGATTTCCTTTCCTTTATGAAGCAACTAACCTACCTGTTGCTACGATGATTCGTGATAGTTTCTTTTACCTATAGCTATTGGTGTTCCGTCATGTGTGTGGTATATGGTTTGAGTAAGTGGTGTTTGAAAGCACTTAGCTGCCCATATAGTGGTGACTTCTGTTCTGCACATTATTAGTGTATTATTTGTACTCGTAGTCCAGTTAAAGTTGATGTTTAATTGTGGCTTGGTAACTTATCAAGATAAGGAATTCTGAAACATGCATTAATGATATTTTTCTGTCTGCATTGCATTAGATTCATTTGTTGTTATCATCTTGCAATAACTTTTAAATGTTAGAATATTGAGATTCTACAAGTCTTATTATTTCAGGAGTTTTATTGTGCCTGTCTTGTACTACAATAGTATTTGACCTAAAAAATTAGTATGAACAAGAGTATTATGTGATTTTTTATATCAAATTTCTCGTTCATTCTATGTCTTTGATGGATTGGGTGCCTTTTTCTTCTTGGGTCATGTTGCTGGCTTGGTTTTGCTAGGATTTCCTCTGCCATTTGCTACATTGAACTGTCTGGTTGTGTGATGATCACCATGTTTTTTTGCTGTTTGGTCTTATTCCTGCATGGGTTACTGTATTATACCCATTTTGGCTATAATTCTTCCAGTTTGGCTATGGCTTGTATTACCTTATTCCTGAATGGGTTGCTGTGTTTATGTCCTGTTTGGTACCATTTTATTCTGATTGCGCTGTTTGATTCTGTTTTTATCTATTCTTGCTTGTTTTCTATATTCTCTCACAATCACAAGCACTTGACTAATCTGATTCAAGGACCTTTAGAGCCAGCTTCAGTTTTTCTCACTGTAGAATTTTCTTCTAATGCTTTTTGAGTCCGTAATTCAAACTTGTGACTATTCTTGCTGCTTGAAGCTTCAAAGTGGATTTCAGTGATGTCTTTTCTGCCTCTTTCCTGGTTTGCCTCTCTATTTGTTACATGCTTTTTTAATTTGCCGATGCAGGTATATGATGTGACGCAATATTTGGATGATCATCCTGGTGGAGATGATGTAATCATTACCGCAACAGGTACTTTCTTATGCTCCTTGTATTTTATTACACTAAAAAAATAAACATTTCCCGTTAAACCCCAAATAGCGAGGGTTGGGTGATAGAAATCCTTGTACGCAATTTTATCTTTGCATATTTGCAAAGAGATTATTTTTCAAATTTGACCTCATTACCTTTCAGTTACAGAGAAACAATCTTATCATTGTTCCTAGCTCGCTTTCGTATATTTTATTACACCATGGACCGCAAAAATAAACTTGGTAAAATTCATCCATTTAAAATCTTAATACACCTTAGTATTTGAAATTTTGTGAAGGGAAAGATGCAACAGATGATTTTGAAGATGCTGGCCACAGCAAAAGTGCAAGAGAACTTATGGAGCAGTATTGTATTGGTGAGCTTGACACAACATCTCCAATTTCCACCAACAAACATTATTCTGAAAATTTGTTGCAGATGATAAAGCATTATTATTTAGCTGTTCCCGTGGCCGCCGTTGGGATTTCAGTGGTAGTTGGTTTCTTATACTTACGTAAGAAGTAATATTACTCTACAACTCTACAATTATTATTTTTTTGACATTGTTGCTACTGAAAATGAATCATTGCAACAAATTTTGTATTGCTTGAAGGATAGAAATTATAAGAATGCTGGCTTATTTCAAAATAATAAGAATTGATTATGTGCATTAACATTACATCGAAGGATTGATCAAGGAATGGATGATCAAACATGTTTTTTGCAGTTTTATTGACTGATTTGTTGGAGAATTTATTTTAATTTTTTTTTCAAAAAGAAAAGGTTCCTCTGTATTTGCTATTTTTGTTTATTTTTATTCACAAAATTTACTATTTTAATATACGTGTATGCCTTTGGAACCTGATACCGTTGTTTAGTTTTTGGATTTTGATTTTGAAAAATCTGGTATATTAACTGTTTAGTGTGTTAAATATATCTCCTCAACATGTACCCATTATGAAGCAATTTCTGCATCATGAACTTTGTTTTGGAGCTGTGAAATTCTGAATCTTATGTGTGACTCTATTAATCCAATGTGTGATACAAAGAAGGAACGTGAGATAACATCTATTCTTCAAAGATTTACAACTAGCTAGTGCACCACGACTTGGAAGATGGTTGCTCTAATGCTTTCTTCTTCACAATACCGGTCACCCATAATAAATAACTTTTAAATTGTATTTCTTTTTCTTTTTTACAAAATAATATTATTTGAGAAATATAGAGTTCAAAAAAGATGCAATAAAATTCTAACTATGTACTTTTAAGTAATTATATTTCAAATTTTTATTTTATTACAAAATAAATCATTTCAATGATTTTGATTTTTACTGATTTTATCTGTTTCTGCTCAGATTTTACGGGTGTCTTGAACAACTCCCATTAATTACTGGTATGTCTTGTTCAAGAATAACGTTATACTGTATAAAAATGAAGGAAATCTCTAAATTAATCTTATAAAATCATTTACAATATTAATTTTTTAAAATTCTCTTGTTATATCAATGTTTTAAAAATATAAAATAATTATTAAAACTTATTTTTTGATATTATCACTTTAATTGTTTATATCAATAAATATAAGAACATGTTAAACCTTCGAAAAAAATTAATAATAAAAACATAAAATAATATCTACAAAAAAGTAAAATAATAATTTCATACTTTTTAAAGGTTTGACAAAAAATTTCTCCATAAAAGTATATACATTATGATATAAAGTACTCATTTGTTCAAATTAAGACAATAAAATTGCATGTATATAACAATCACATGTATTACGTATTTATTTATTTGTTAGAAGTAATATGTATTATTTTACACGTAATAAAATTGAAATAATAAAAAAAGTAATTTTTTTTTTATCTTTTTATATTTTAAACAAAGAAAAAAGTATTTTTTCAGTCACTAGAAATAAATTTATCTCCAGTGAACTCAAAACGACGTCATTGTGATGTTATAAGATTAAAAAATTATAATGATAAAGACTAATATAATCCTGCAATATATTAAAATTATAAAAACACTTTAATTTCTGCCCAAAAAAAATTTATTTTAAACTCACTGAAGATAATTTATCTCTATTGATCGGAGAAATAATTTAAAACGAACTGTATAACTTAATATAAAGAATAATAAAAGTTTGTAGTTTTGTGCTTTTTCTATTCTTAAACTATTTTAATAGTCGAATGTATTGTTTTTTATTTTTATTTTACGTTACGGATCTTGTCTCTGTTTTTCAGCAATGGAAGGAAAGGTAAGTGCAACTTTATGCTGATTTGCCATAACGAAGCTAGACACATGGGACTCACATCACATTCATAACTTCTTTCAGTCATGTTCAGTTCAACCAAGACATAGAAAAATACAATATGATACTAATCATTTATTCAAATTCATTGTTTTCTCAAAGCACTCATGACCCACAAGTAACTTGGCTCATCTCTCAGTCAATAAAGTACTGAAAGTGGCAAAGCACAGAATCAAATTAACACATCTATGGCTTCCCACAACCATATAAAACATGCTTTGGAGAAAGGGTTTTAAGGACTGGATTCCTTTCAAAGAAATTATTTGGCCTCAACTCAAATCCAGTGCTCAATAGTGGCATTAATGGGAAGTCTTCCTGGCATGGAACATGGTGGATTCCAACTACATACCACAGCACAATATCCTTGTTCTCAATACTCCTATTCCTGCAATCATTAATTTGCATTTTCAAAACAAGCATGAATTAAATATATAGAGAAAAGTAGAAGATATTCTTATATCGGTGTAAAAATAATAAGTTTTATATCAAATTTTGATCATTGATTTATTTATATTTAACGGCTCAAATATCTAATAAATCAGAACCGTTAAATATAAATAGATCAATGATCAAGATTGAAAGCATAACTTATACCGGTGTAAAATAATTTAACCCACCAAAGAAAATAAAATTTCAACCCATGACCATAGGCACAAAAGTTAAGCATGCTTACATTTTGGTCCAAATAGCTAATGTATCTTCTCCACGGCTCTGATCAACATATAGTCCACCAGCCCATTTCTCAGTCCTATTATATGGGGTAACCCAAATATTGTAGTTGGTAAAAGCACCTCTGGTTTGAGGGTAATCATCCTCTATCAGAAGGGGATGTGCTGCAGCATTTGGAATCAGACGGTACCCTATATCATTTCCAGTGGAGGTCTTCTTGTTAGGATTCACTAGTGCCAACTCAGAAGGGCTCATCCCAAGCTTGGTCTTTGCATCAGTTTCAGTCTTAACAACTTGAGTTTCAGTTGTCCAATAGCTCTTTCTCTTTGAACTGTTGTCAGTTACTTTCACAGTCTTCAGATTTGTCTTCACAAAGGAGTTGTCTACACCATCAATGTCAAAGTCAAGATGGTATATGTAATAGTGATCATGGTAAACCCCAACGCTGTGTTCTGAGACCAAAGTGCCATGCATATCTTGCTTCATCTCGTCTTTGTGCTTAACATCCACTGCCTTAATTTCCAGCATGCCTGATAGTGATATCTATTGGAGCATGTTGAAGGATCGAGTTAAAATTAGATTATTGTAGAACATTTCCCATTAAGGGTTGTCATTGTTTAAAGTTAAAACTTGAAAATGCATCATACCACAAACATAGAAGTTAAATGTCATTGTAGAACATCTCTCATCATTAAGGGTTGTCATTGTTAAAAGTTAAAATTAATGTGTAATTAGATTCATGTTCCCAACTTATTATAATTAAAAATGACACCTAGCTTAGGGAAACAGTACATACCTCAGGCTTGATTGAGCCACTTGTCTTGAACTCCCAATCCATTACATTATCGTAGTTGCCCACAGTGACCACTGATCTAACCACTAGACTGACATCCGACCTAACTTCTCGTATCTAACAAAAGCCATACATGTCACTTTCATTTCCGACAAATGTACATAAATAAAATAAAAACAATAAGAAAGAACAAACACAAGAGAATAGAAAAAGGGTAATTCAAAAGTTAGCTTAAATAATTTAAAGTAACTTTCCTATACACATAATTGATAAAAGAGACGAGAGATAAAAATTAAATGTTGGGCTCTATATAAAATTATGTGTTTTCAGCTGAATGCATTTTTGGGAAGGGGCTGAATCTTTAGCCATCACTGTTTCCCCACACTTCGGATTAGTCCTATAGCCGGCTCAAAGAGTCGAAGCTCGTGGGAATACTGGAGGGAGCCAACTCGTCTCAAAGAGATAACTAGAGTTGGATAACTCCAAAAAAAAAATAAAAAAAAATTATGTGTAAAAAAGTTATGTTACATAATGTAACATAATAAACATAAAATTCATAGAAAAAAAGTCAAATTATTTAACTGCTTTGGCATATCTCAAAATAAGTATAAAATTCTAAAAAGAGTGTAAAAAGGGTACATAATCCCTGGATCCTATTGTGAAAGTGAACAAATAAAAATTAAGAAAAGGGAAGGGATACACTTACTTCCTCGTTGGGAATGCCTGTTTCTGTATGACGCCAATTGATAGCGCCATAATTTTCAAACACGCAAAAAGCATTCTCCAAGTGTTGTGGGGTACCATCACGCCCCGCATAATATACATCAAAGAACTGAGCGTGTGGGGGACAATCCTGCAAGGGCTCCAAAGAAACCATAGACTGACCAAACCCAAACTCACCAGCATCAAAGAAAGTCTTATAATACCATTCCTCACTTGGGTCTTGGTACGGCACAAACAGCTCTGAAATGTATCCTCTGTATAACACGTGACGATATTTGTGTACCTCAGCATCGTAAATTCTTGCTGTTGAAATTATTATACCAGCTCGTACATCATACCCTATATGAAAATTCCAGTTCGCCCAGCTAAACAAACCACACAAAACAATGTAAGTCAGTCACTACACAAACCATGCTCACGTACGTAACATCTTACCTAATACATATATACTCACTCGTGCCTGTATTCCTTTGAATATAAGTTTTTTCAACAGATTTCATACAATATTTATTGATTCAACCATAATTGGATCACATAATATTAAAAAAATAATGTCAGTCCTAGAGCCAATTGATCTACGAATAAAAGGGGTTACGTCGACATCATGAGGTTAGGTAAGGAAATGAGGGAACATGTTGAAATGAAACACTTTGATAGGAGAAGGGGATATCTCTTGTACGGAAAATTTATTCGGTAGGGAAGAGGATATAACTCGTGTACGGAAAATTCTCTGGGTACTTATTATTAAGGCTTCATTTTTTAAAGTTGGAAAAAATGATCCATTTAATTGCATTTATTTAACCAATTTCTTCGGGAGGGATATTCTTATTAATAAAAAAATTCAGTACCAACTTATAACCTATATAATTATTATTGAATCAAAAAGAAAATGTTAAAACAAATTTGAAGAGTGAAAAAATATTAATTCAATAATAATTAAATAGTTAATAAGTTGATAATGAATTTTTTTAATAGTAAGAATATCCTCGTTCTTTCTTTATAGTTAATTTTTCTTTTAATAGTAAGAATACATAATTATGGGATAATTAGCTGAAGATTTACAAAAGTGTTCTTCCTCTTGTAATCACCATTTCCCAAATACACATATCATTTTTATTTTTATTTTTTTGGATAGATAGATACACACATCATTTTATCTCTTCCTTTCTTATTCCTGTAACTCATGGGTCATAGTAAGATAATCCATGAGAATATGAAAAAACTGAAACAATATTTAACTGTTTTATATGTTGTGTAAAAGCGTTACCTGACAGTGTGGCCTTTGATGGTGAACCCTGGCCCCTCCGGTTGATGGGAAGCAAAAGAATGAAGCTTTGGACCGAATGGTGGTTTCATATGTGAAGCCCTGTATTCGGTGTTTTCTGACTTAGGAACAGGTTCCATAGATTTATCATGGTACTGAATAATCTTCATGTCATGAATATCTGCAAGCATTGTTATTCCATTAATAGGCCTCACATAGATATTAGCAGTGTCTTCCTTCATGAAGCACTCGATCCTCAAAGCCCTTCGGCTCTTAACTTCCCCATACCACCCAACTGTGAAATCAGAACACACCACTTCAGATAGATTCAAACCCCTCTTCTTCACCGACTCAATAAAGGGACCATATTTCAGCGGCAACAGACTGGCCTCGCCTTGTTCATCAACGGTTAGTGTAGGGAAACCATTTCCACGTCGAACTTTGTCAGAGACAATGTTCGAGGATCTTAGGTTGATTAAGATCTCGTGTATTTCGCTGTTGACCATAACGATGACAAAGGCATTTCGTGAGGTTTGAACACGGGAAGAGGAAGATACCCATTTGAGGACAGTGGATTTTTCAGGGTCATCTAGACCAACGTAGTGGAAGTTGACCCTGTGAGTTGAAGTGGGATATTTCTTTAGGACTATAGTTTGGACAAGTGTTATCTCTTGTTTTGATAGAGGGTCAAATGGGTGGTATGTCAGTTTCAGCGGGCCAACAGAGATACTTGTTGCTTGTGTGTGGAAGATGAACAACAAGGAGAAGAAGAGTGTGAGCAGGGACAAGAGCCTCAGAAGTTTCATGGTGCAAGCTGTGTGGCAGTAACTTGCTCTGGACAATGCATAGCTTCTCCTGTTGCCCTTAAAAAGACATTAGATCCTTTCTTTACGATGTACTATTCATTTCCTATGAGATAAAGTTACAATCTACACACACATAAAAAGAAAAACACGTGATTCGTATTTTTTTCTCTCCATGTTCTCTTTACAGAGTTTAATATGAATCCATATATTTTAACCTCTATGTAGGAAATAATCTTATATCTTATAACACGAGGGATAATAAATTTTTCATTTAATTAAAAAATTGTATATAAATTTTTTTTATTTCTCTATTAATTTATTGATTTCCGAATAATCTGATTGACTCGGATAATTTGCTTTGCTTTTGGTTAGAAAATATATGCCATCTGCTACTTGACGATTGGATTAAAAAAAGGAAAAGAAAAAAAAAAAAAAAAAAACTGAAAACTCATGTCAGATAGAGTAAAGTTGGCACTTGACAAGGTATATTTTAGAATCAGGGAGCTAAATAGGTCAGGTATGTTAGGTTTTTTCTTAAATAAATTAGGTATGTGTAAAAAATGTTGAGTATGGTCTGCTCTACTAGTCTGTGTAGATCCCAAATTATAAGTTTAGGCTGATTTATATTTAAAAAATAAAAGTCTTGATCTACGTCTATTAATCTGTTTAAGCATATTAAACAATCAATAATTAAAAGAATAACTAAAATAGTATTATTTTATTATTCAAAATTATTAAAATAATAATTTTATTTATTATATTTTAAATAAATAACATGATATAGGTCGGTCTGTAAGCTTATAAGCCCGACACGTACAAAAAAGACTATGGTCTCTTTTTTAAATAGAATTTTTTAAAAGTCTAAAATTGTTCTATTTTACTATTTATAATAAGCCAAATCTGGTCTAATGTAGACTAGGTCATAAGCCCATGTAGATCGATCTAACTCATTTACACTCCTATTTAGAACTAACCCTGTTTTATTAGTTTTGGCTTGGATCGCCAATTAAACCCTAGCATTAATCCACCTTATATCAGCTAGCTAGGGTCAATTCGTAACATAATCTCGTCGAGGAATCTGTAGTCGTTTCTCTGGAACTGTAATGTAATCTAATCCACTGAAATACAGACAAATAATTTTAGTCAGAATCCTTATTATTATTTTAAAGATAAACACAGAAGGGCAAAGAGAGTTGAATATCCTTCCCTGCTTATTAGTTCACTTCTAGAAACAAAAGTGCGCTTTTTATTCGTTTTATCTGGGGAAGAACATTTTTTTCTTTTTTCTGTTACTAATCAGACAACAATTAATTTATGATAAGTTAACCTAGGGATTTGATTAAGTTTTTTTTTTTTACAGGGAATCGAACCGCACACCTAATACACCCTAAACACACCCAACACCACTAGGGTATCCCTAGTGGTGCGGGATTTGATTAAGTTTGCATATAATATTATTGGGTTTTATAATTCTCATTTAACATGAGAATTGCAATTTTCCTACACACCCTTCGATTTCCGTGCTGACATGGGTCCTACCTATAATTTTTTTTAACACATGGGTCTCACATGCTTTTTATCTCTACAACATGAGATTTCAATTCTCCTTCAATATGAGAATTATAAAACCCAATATTATTTTGACTAATAGATTTTAAGTATATAGTTAAATGTTATCAGTTAAGAGAGAGAGGAAACGAAGATAATGTAATAAGTTGGTTTAAGTCCTTATGAACGCAAAAAGAAAATTGGGAAAGCTACCCTCACCACTACATATGTGTAAAATAACCAAAAAAATTGAATTGAACTGTGAACTATACTTAAAATAACTGATTTTTAAAAATCAGTTCATTAACCAAATTGATTTTTAAAGAACCAGTTCATGAACCGAACTGGTTTTTGTTATTTTATTTCTTTAATTTTTAAATTTTTTTCTTTTCTCTTCTTTTCAGAATAGGGTTGATCCGAATCGGTTTTGAATCGAATCGAACCGTTTCCAACTGAATCGAATCATTTTGAAATCAAACCGAATCTGTTTTGAACCGAACTGAATATTTTTCGAACCGAACCTTTAAAGCAATTTAGTTTGATTTTTCAAAAAATTCAGTTTAATTCAACCATACCTATCCACCATAATATAGATGTTCCGAACAATATTACAGTAACATATGGTTTATCAAAAAAAAAAAATGGATGTAATGAGAAAAAGGTACGTTACTTTCCTTCTTATTTTGTTTTTTATTTTTTATTTGAGAAAAGTTTAAAAAGCCCCCACATTTTCATTTAGAATCAATTACCCCTTGAACACACCACGAGGGAAATTAAAAATAGTGTTTGATGTTATAAAAAAAAAAAAAAATAGTGTTTGAAGTTAACATTTACAAATAAAATAATAGAAATTAAAAGGATAACCAAATATTTGTAAATAAAGGTAATTCAAAAGGAGAACCAAATAGAAACCAAAAAATAAAAATAAAAAAAATCATAGATTAATGGAATACTTTATTTTTTTCAATATTTTTTTCAATATTTTTTTCTTCTTTTTTGTTTTTTTCTAAATAAAAAAAAATATTAAAAGCTATTAAGATGAAGTTAAAATGTTTTATTTCAAGAATAAGTCTTATTATATTTGAAGCATTTAATAACTTTTTATAAATGTTTAATTGTAACAATCCAGTCATTAGATAAAAAGTTTTAATTCAAATATAGTCAATAATTTATTGTATATCTTTATTTTAAAGTATAATATATGTTTAAAACTTAAGTAAATATCAAAGATAAAGTTAAATGCTTATAAATATTTAACTAATTTCAATAATTATATTTGTTAAATTTATAGTCTTAAGAAAGGACAGGATAATATAAGTCTTCATAACCGAGTCTAAAATAAAAGGATTATATGCCACTAATATATATATATATATATATATATATATATATATATATATATTTCTGTCATAAAAGATAGCTTTTGTGACCTTAAAACAAATATTTTTATAATTCTGATTTATTTTTGGTTGCTTACCCCAAACCTAAAATATTGCATTTTGATATAACATTTATCTATGTATAAAGAATAAGATAGATAGATAACATTTATCTCTTATATATAAGAAAAACAATAAACAATATACTAAAAAATTATAATAATAAACAAAGGGTTCTGCTGCATTGCCGGTAGGGATGAAACTAGGTCGGACTGGCCTACAGGGGCTTACGGCTCAGCCGATGTCAGGTCAGATCTGACCTAGTATATTTCGTAAAATAGGCTAGACTTGGATCTTGAAAAAACTTATTTAATAAAAAGGTCGTATGTCTACTTTCACAAGGTCTGGCCTATAAGCCTATAGACTTGCCTATATTGTACTATTAAAATTTTAAATAAAATAGAATAAGTATGTCATGAAGAAAAAATAAAAAATATAAATTAATCAATTGTAATTATTTAAAACTTAATTATATTCACTAATATTTTAATAGATATCTGATTTTATTTTTTATGTAGGAGAAACAAACATCCTAGTATGTTACATTGTGTATATGAATATATTAAAAGATTTTTGGGAGAAGTTATTCTTACTACAAACATCGTGATGTGTTTGTTGGATTCATGTTGTTATTTTAATTTACATAGTATGAATTTGTTTGTTAGATTTGATTAAATATATATTATTTAGTTTGAGCATTTTGCTTTTGAAAGTGACTTAAATGCAGATTATATGAGTTTTGTTATAATTCATGATTCTGTTTGGACGTTGAAATTATGATTTTTGGATTAGCAACAAAATTTTAGTATTTTGTAAAGTTGATTTATTATTCTACTTGAAAGTTAAAAATTAATAGGCTAATGGACTAGGCCAGGCTATTTGTTTTTTTATAAATGGGTCAAACCAGATTAACAGTTAGACTCGTACTAGGCTTGGACCAGACAAATTAAAATTTTTTGACGTAAATTTGAACTTTTTAGAGCAAAACTTGACCTAGTTCAGCCCACTTTCAGCTCTAATTGCCGGCTTATAAAAGAAAAACAGGCCAAGTCTTGTCATAATCACATGCACTTTGCTTATTTAAGAGAATAAAAGAAAATTCCAATTATGAAGGCACTGTTTTTATTTTTTTGAATTTTTTATTTATTGATACACAGGCACTGTTTTTCATTTGATAAATAAGGTTTCGGTGCCGGTCCGTGCGAGTCTCCCCACATTTAATATTATAATAAATAAGTTATGGGACAGTTGAGGCCATATAATATATATATATATATATATATATATATATATATATATATAATAATAGGAATAACATATGTTATTTTAAAAGATAGAAGCTTATATCTTTTTAGATCCTAACCGTTGATTTCCGTCCGTCAACAGTTATAATTTATTGGATCAAAATTATTAATTAATTAATATTAAATTTGGCTCATTAAGTTTGACTCAATAGATTATAACTGTTGATGGAAGAAAATTAACGGTTAAGATATAAAAAGATATAAGCTTATATACTTTGAAAGAATAAATATTTTTCTCATATATAATATTGAAAAAAAATTCGTTTATAATTTTTTTTTACAATTTATACTAAGTATGATAGACTATACACTTATAATTAAAATATAACCTTTCCCGCGATATTATAACTAAAGACAATCAGTTTCCCATTCTACTATTCACGAATAAAGATCAGTCAAAGAATCGTTACGAGACAATTGAGAGTTGAGACAATGTATGCAATATTATAAAATCTAATTCTTTATTCATATAAAGTTGTAAAAGTCTGAACAATAAATTAAGGAATTAGAGTGATTAATGATCAGCCGCCTCTTTTAAAGTTTCAATTATAAATAAGGTATAAATAAAAAATGAATCATTTCATATTTTATTTAATATGATTATGGAAGAATTATAACCACTAAGATAAATTAATGATAGTGATTTTATGATTACATATCCCTCTCTCTTTTTACTTATCATTGTTAATTAATCTTTGCATGATTATAA